CCAACATTCCCAGAGAGAGGGATGTTTTAAGAAGAAACCTTTTGCTTTATTATTATTTTTTTTAATGATTCAATAATGTTATACAGTCAATAATGCAATTTTTTTCTTTAATCATGGGTAATCTTTGAGAGATTTTTTTAAAATCTAAAAATATATTTTCAAAATTCAAACATAGTAAAATCCAGTGGTGAATTAATAAGAATTTTAAGTTGCTAACTGTAGTCACTTTGTAATTGGTTGTTTATATGTTTAAATTTCTTCAATTTAATTATATTTAAAACAAAAATGTTTTTAATATTTGGTTAGCTGTTCTTGTGCCTACTGGATGAGTATTCTTCAAAACAGTATTGTTTCTGTGAAAGTCGATTATCTATAGCAGTTTGCTCTATTTATATGTACATGAAATATTCTTTTATTATGGAAAATTCTTCCTCTCTAACTGAATATTTAAGAAACAGAACATTTGAAAGATATCACTATTTCAAAAAAAATGTTTTTATTGATTTTTAGAGAGGAAGGAAGTACAAGAAAGATAGAAACACCATCCATCCACTGCCTCCTGCACGCCCCCTACTGGAGATTGAGCCTACAACCCAGACATGTGCCCTGACCAAGAATCAAATTATTGACCTCTTGATTCTTGGGTCGACCTTCAACCACTGAGCCATGTCAGCTGGAGCATATCAGTATTTTTAATTATCAAAATAAATACTAAAGTGGAAAGTCTTTACAATTCCCAAGGAAACGATGTGACCTATTAACAAATCATGATCCTTTAGAGTCTAAAGTTTAGACATTTGGAGTGCCATACATCAGATAGCAAGTGATCTGAAAAAGTTACATATAAAGCATTGCAGCTCAGAATTAGCATGTTACAAAACTTGTGAAATTTCAGTTGACACATATTAGCAAATATATTTGTGAAGAAAAAAAAAAACCTAGCCACTATAATGTAGGAAGTTCCTTTAGAATCCTAGATGAGGAAAAGTCTGTCTTTGTGTGGCTCATTCATCAGAGAAAGGGAAATTTACTAAATGAGCTACTAAAGTACTTTATTTATAAAGCAAAATGTGATGATATGTTGCCATTCGTTTAAAAGACAAATATATCCTGTGACATAAACCTCTGAAGTTAAAATCTATACCTCCTAAAGTACATTTTAATTTAAAGCAATTTTAACTGGTCATATAATATTCCACTTAATGATCTCCCTAGTAAGGTTTCAGGTAGAGTTAATCTAGATAGAAAATACTGTCAAACAGTTGCCGTGTTATGAATTAAAAAGAAAGAAAAGAAAAAAAACCTAAGCACTGAAATGTTATCTATTTTTCTCTTTCTAACATGCCCTTTCTATATGAAACAGAGAAAGTATAAATGATGCTTACTATTATAAGTAGTATGGTTTTTTATACATTTTAACATCTATATTTTAATGAGTGGACTATTTTCTTAAAGGCAATTAAATTATTCCAGGAAATACTTTTTTTTTTTTTTTAAATTTAAGGGTCATTGTATACAATTTTATGGAAAAACACACACACACACAACACAAAACAAAAACACTCCTTGCTAAGAGATATGGCCATTTTGTTATCCATGAAGGGAACTATCTAGCCAATGAAAGATCTTGGACCATGAGAAAAAGTGACATCCAGGCTGCTTGCTGGCATCAGGCCACAGGAGCAGTACCCAGCCCTGCGTGGAGAGCAGGTTGGCAGATGTTGTTAGCTGACTTTTGCTGAAAAAGTATGGGAGAACAGTTGGAAAATCACAAGGTGTCGAACAAGCTTTAAGGAAATAAATAGCTTATTTGGCAACAGAAAGGGAGAAAGACAACGAGTTCCTTCGTGGAGGAGGAAGACTGGGATACTTCCAATTACAGAATTTCATGAACTGACTTCTTAATAAGAATAGAATTTGTATTTAGATGTAGAGCCCCTGATACCTTAACCTGAATACTGGCATTTTACACTAGAATAGCCCTAAGGGAAAAAATACAAACCCAAGATGACACTGTGAACACCTAATGGCCATAGCAAGTAAATATTCAATAAATATGTGAAAATCTAATTTTGTATTAAAGTCTGAATCAAAAAAGAAAATATGAAACAATTGCAAAGGATACTTTCCAGAAGAAAGCATTATTACATGATGCTGAAAAGAGGTTGTCCCATGATCATTGTCTGCTAGTTAGCATGACTGAACATATAGGCAGGCCCATTAACATCCCTTATACAGTGGGATGTAAATCATCACAGAGCCAATAAAACTGAACCACATTTTCTTCAAGCTCTGAGATAAAAATCCTTTCATCTGAGTAGACATATTGCTAGGCAATATTTGTTAACATAAAAAGAGCAACAGGGTCTAAAAGAATAAAAAAAAGCCAGAGTACAATGCCCATAAAGGTGGATTCCCCCAGCATACACACAATTATACATGTATAGATGTACATACCCACACATACACACATATAGATACATATATATTCATGAATGCATACAGACACACATATACATACACACATGCCTACATGTACACCTATAAATACATATGTATACAAATACATACATACACACACACTTAAAAATGGCATTCCTAGCTGTATTTTTTAAAGCATGGTTTAAAATGGAGGTGCAACTTCAAATATAATTCTATTATATTTGCCTCACTGATTATTCTTCCCAAATTTATGCTTTTCATAACTGTATGCATGCTACAAATGCTATGATCTTTGTGTAAGTAGAGTTCTCTTTACACATAATAGCTAACAGAATCTTTGTCACATTCTTACACATATGTTATATTATAATATGCCACAATATAACACATTTTCAAAAATTACAATCTTTACTTTTATTTCCCTTAGATTTAAGATTTCATTACATCTTTAAAAAAATAAAAGGCTTATATAGACTATAGAGCACATTCAAAGGCAGGGCTTAAAAAATAGCCACATTATTGTTTCAGATTATTTCATGAAGACACTTTTTTTTTTTAAGTGGACAGGGATTTGTTTTGTTAGCGTTCTTAGTTTCTGCAAGCCCCCAGCCTGTTAGGACCTCAACCCAGACTTCCCACCCTCACCAGTAGCCCTCACTTCAGTCATTTTCGAGAAGCCATTGTATGGGTCCTTATTTGTAATCGACTTTGAAAGTCAAAAGCGGCGCAGATGGAAAACTAAAAGCACTTATTCAAGGGCATCCTCAATGCTGCAATTGCTGCCTGGTAAGGACGTACAGGTCTGGAGCCGCCCATTTCCAGCGCCTCCTCGCAGGGAGTCCAGGGTCGAAGGGGGGGGGGGGGGTACCCCGCCACACGCACCAGGATCCCCAAGCTGTTTTCTCGCTGGAGCCCACCCTCTTCCCGGCACTATGGAAACTGCTATTTATTTTATTATTTTTTTTACGTCCTCCTCTTTCTATTACATCCCTAACAGAGAATTTCAACTTCTCAAGACAAGTGAATGGTGCTGGCGACGCCGGGGGGCGGAAAAGCCCGCGACCTGGGTGCGGGGGGGAAGGGCATCCCTGGAGGGTGGGGCCCGGGAGCCATCCGAAACCAGTGGGGCCGGGAGTTGGGGGGCGCCTCAGCCCCTCCCGCACCCCGGCTCTCCTTCCAGGAAGGCGCACGAAGCTGATATCGATCCTGAGCTCACCGGTGACTAATGTGATGAGCAGGGTAAACAAGCCGCCGCCGCCGGCGGGGCACCGAGGAACCACCCAGGCGCAATCCCGCTGCGGCGGGCGGGCGCGCGCCCACCCTGAGTCTGGGCGCAGGATCCGCGCGCCCAAGTGGGTGTTGGTGGGAGGGGATTACGAGAGGGCAGCCAAGTTCATTACCCTTTCTTGCCCGCCGCTAGCGTGGCGGTGGCGGGGCAATGCAGCAGGGCCACAGTAGGGTGTGATCCCATTCCCTGCGCCCAGACCCGAGGGCGGTATCGGGCCTGGATCATCATCGGCCGCCCCCTGTCCCCTGTGCCCTGCAGCGTCCCCTCCTCCGGTCCCCTCCCAGGCGGACGTTCCGAGCCCAATTAATTGAGTAAAAAGCGGGAGGGAGGGAAGGACCCTCTGCGCGGAGGAGGCTGGCCCCCACCACTTCTGCGCGCCCTTTTTCCCCCGCCCTGGGTGGCATCTCCTCCGCCAGCATCCCACAAGGAGCCTCTGATTAATGAGGTCTGGGCCGGCCCCCACACCCCGCCCCAACCCCAGCCCCAGCCTCCGCGGGAGAGGGCGGGGACGGCGGGAAACGCAGCCCGGGGAGAAAGGGGGGCGGGGCAGGGGCGCGCGGCCCGCCCACCCCCCCGCGCCTCACGCCCATTGGTCGCGCGTGCCGTCCGTCGGGAGGCGCGGCGCCAATGGCGGCGGCGGGGCGGGGCGGCCGCGCGGTGTGTGCCTGCGTAACGCCGAGTCACATGTTGTTTTGCTCTTCTTAGTTCAGTCACTCGGTGCGCGATGTGTTACTCACAGTGCGGCGGGGACCGCGCAGAGCCCAGGTCGCCGTTGGCAGCAGGAGCAGCAGCAGCAGCAGCAGCAACAGCAGCAGCAGCAGCAGCAGCAATAGTCCTGGCAGCAGCGCGGACCCCGAGTGCCCAGGCGCACCCCGGCACCCCGAGGGCGGTGCAGCGGCGGGACTAGAGCCTTAGGCTCGGCCCCTCGACTAGGGGACCCCGACTCTCCTCTCTCCAGCCAGCGAGTCCCCAAGGCGCCGCCCGAGACAGAGCCCGGGAGGCAGCAGCGGCCGCGGGCAGCCGGCGGCCAGGCGTTCGGCCACCGCCGGCGCTGGGCATCCTTTGGGCTCCGGATCGCGGAGGAGGGTGCTGCGCCACCGCCGCGCGGTGTCGGCTCCCCCCGCGGCGGGCCTCCCCGAACCTTCCCTACCTCCTGGGCCCAAGGGACGTGGGCTCGAGCGGGCGAGCAGGGGTGAGGGAGCAGCCCCCGCCTGCGCCCCCTCCGAGCCCCTTGACACTGGGTTGGGCATCGCGGCCTGAAGTGCCCGGGATGGCGAGCCCGCCGCCGCTGCACGGGACCCCGGCGGCGCCGGCGTCCGCGGCGGGCGGCGATGGCCCCAACCTCAACAACAACAACAACAACAACAACCACAGCGTGCGCAAGTGCGGCTACCTGCGCAAGCAGAAGCACGGCCACAAGCGCTTCTTCGTGCTGCGCGGGCCCGGCGGCGGCGGCGCGAGCGGCAGCGGCGACGAGGCGGCGGCGAGTGCGGGCGGCGGGGGTCCGGCGCCGCCGCAGCCCCCGCGGCTCGAGTACTACGAGAGCGAGAAGAAGTGGCGGAGCAAGGCGGGCGCCCCGAAGCGGGTCATCTCGCTGGACTGCTGCCTGAATATCAACAAACGCGCCGACGCCAAGCACAAGTACCTGATCGCCCTCTACACCAAGGACGAGTACTTCGCCGTGGCCGCCGAGAACGAGCAGGAGCAGGAGGGCTGGTACCGCGCGCTCACCGACCTGGTCAGTGAGGGCCGCGCGGCGGGGGGTGCCGGCGGCAGCGGCGACTCGGCAACCCCCGCGGCCGGGATCCACGCCGGCGGCGGCTCCTGCAGCGCCTCCTTGCCCGGCACCCTGGGCGGCTCCGGCGGCGGCTCCGATGACAGCAGCTACGGGCTGGCGGCGTCCTCCGCGGCCGCTTACCGCGAGGTGTGGCAGGTGAACCTGAAGCCCAAGGGCCTGGGCCAGAGCAAGAACCTGACGGGCGTGTACCGCCTGTGCCTGTCGGCGCGCACCATCGGCTTCGTGAAGCTCAACTGCGAGCAGCCGTCGGTGACGCTGCAGCTCATGAACATCCGCCGCTGCGGCCACTCGGACAGTTTCTTCTTCATCGAGGTTGGCCGCTCGGCCGTCACGGGCCCCGGCGAGCTGTGGATGCAGGCCGACGACTCGGTGGTGGCCCAGAACATCCACGAGACCATCCTGGAGGCCATGAAGGCGCTCAAGGAGCTCTTCGAGTTCCGGCCGCGCAGCAAGAGCCAGTCCTCGGGCTCGTCGGCCACACACCCCATCAGCGTCCCCGGCGCGCGCCGCCACCACCACCTGGTGAACCTGCCCCCCAGCCAGACGGGCCTGGTGCGCCGCTCACGCACCGACAGCCTGGCCGCCACCCCGCCGGCCGCCAAGTGCAATTCGTGCCGGGTGCGCACGGCCAGCGAGGGCGACGGCGGCGCGGCTGCGGCGGCGGCAGCGGCGGCGGCGGCGGCGGGAACCGGGGCGGCGGCGGGTAGCAGGCCGGTGTCTGTGGCCGGGAGCCCGATGAGCCCGGGGCCGGTACGGACCCCTCTGAGCCGCTCCCACACCCTGAGCGCTGGCTGCGGCAACCGCGCGAGCAAGGTGCTGCTGGCGCCGGCAGGGGGCGCCCTGCAACACAGCCGCTCCATGTCTATGCCCGTGGCGCAGTCGCCCCCGGCGGCAGCCACCAGCCCAGGCAGCCTGTCGTCCAGCAGCGGGCATGGCTCGGGCTCCTACCCGCTGCCTCCTCCTCCGGGCCCTCACCCGCACCTGCCGCATCCCCTGCACCACCACGCGGCGGGCCAGCGGCCCTCCAGCGGCAGCGCTTCCGCCTCCGGCTCCCCCAGCGACCCCGGCTTCATGTCCCTGGATGAGTACGGCTCCAGCCCTGGCGATGTGAGAGCCTTCTGCAGCCACCGGAGCAACACGCCTGAGTCCATCGCCGAGACGCCCCCTGCCAAGGATGGGAATGGGAGCGGCGAGCTATACGGGTACATGACCATGGACAGGCCCCTGAGCCACTGTGGCCGCCCCTACCGTCGGGTATCGGGGGACGGAGCGGCCCAGGACTTGGACAGAGGGTTGAGGAAGAGGACTTACTCCCTCACCACGCCTGCCCGGCAGCGGGCGGTGCCCCAGCCCTCCTCCGCGTCCCTGGATGAGTACACCTTGATGCGGGCCACCTTCTCCGGCAGCTCCGGCCGCCTCTGCCCCACCTGCCCCACGTCTTCTCCCAGAGGGGCCTATAACCCTTATCCGGAGGACTACGGTGACATTGAGATCGGGTCCCAGAGGAGCTCCAGCAGCAACCTGGGCACGGATGATGGTTACATGCCCATGACCCCCGGAGCGGCCCTCCTGGGTGCTGCCGGCAGTGGCAGCGGCAGCTGCAAGAGTGACGACTACATGCCCATGAGCCCCACCAGCGTGTCCGCGCCGAAGCAGATCCTGCACCCACGGGTGGCTGCTGCAGCAGCTCTGCCCCCGACGGGCCCCGCAGCGCCGGCACCTGCCAGCGTGGCGGGCAGGGCCTTCCCGGTGAACCGAGTCAGCTACAAGGCTAGCTCCCCGGCGGAAAGCTCTCCCGAGGACAGTGGCTACATGCGCATGTGGTGCGGCTCCAGGCTGCCTCCGGAGAGCACCACGGACGGCAAGCTGCTTCCCAACGGGGACTACCTCAACATGTCCCCCAGCGATGCGGGCACCTCGGGGACCACCCCGCCGGACTTCTTCACCGCAGCCTTGCATGGCGCCAGCGGGGAGATGCTCAGGAGCATGCCCGGCTACTGCTACAGCTCCTTACCCCGCTCCTACAAGGCTCCCTACACCTGCAACGGGGACAACGACCAGTATGTGCTCATGAGCTCCCCCGTGGGGCGCATTCTGGAAGAGGAGAGGCCAGAGCCTCAGGCCACCAGCGTGGGGACGACGCACCAGGCCAACAGGGTGGTGGCTGGGGTAGGTGGGGGCAGCCACCCCCAGCCTCCTCACTCCGCAGTGCCTTCTGCAGGGAGGCAGAGTGGCAGTGGCAGTGGCAGTGGCCGCCCGGAGGGCTTCCTGAGCCAGCGCTGCCGGGCGGTGAGGCCCACGCGCCTGTCCCTGGAGGGGCTTCAGACCCTACCTAGCATGCACGAGTGCCCTCTGCCGCCTGAGCCCAAGAGCCCGGGCGAGTACATCAACATTGACTTCGGCGAGGCCGGAGCGCGTCTGTCGCCCCCGGCCCCTCCGATGCTGCTGGCCTCGGCGGCCTCGTCCTCCTCGCTGCTGTCCGCCAGCAGCCCGGCCTCGTCCCTGGGCTCCGGCACCCCGGGCACGAGCAGCGACAGCCGGCAGCGCTCCCCGCTCTCGGACTACATGAACCTGGACTTCAGTTCCCCCAAATCCCCCAAGGCGGATGATGAGACCCAGAGTGGGGACCCCGTGGGCTCCTTGGATGCCCTCTTGTCCCCCGAGGCCTCCGGGTACCCGCCGCTGCCCCCGCGCCCCGCCGCCGCCCCCTCCTCCTCCTCCTCCAGTTCGCAGCTGCAGCCGCCTCCGCCGCCCCCTCCAGGGGAGCTGTACCGCCTGCCTCCTGCACCCGCACCCCAGGGCCCCAGCGCCGCCTCCTCTTCTTCGTCCTCCTCAGAGACAGGGGACCATGGTGACTACACCGAGATGGCCTTTGGGGTGGCTGCCACGCCGCCGCAGCCCATCGTGGCCCCCGCGAAGCCGGAAGGCGCCCGCGTGACCAGCCCCACGTCCGGCATGAAGAGGCTGAGCCTCATGGACCAGGTGTCTGGGGTGGAGGCCTTCCTGCAGGCCGGCCAGCCCCCGGACCCCCACCGCGGGGCCAAGGTCATCCGTGCAGACCCGCAGGGCGGCCGCCGCCGCCACAGCTCTGAGACCTTCTCCTCCACCACCACTGTGACGCCCGTGTCTCCGTCCTTCGCTCACAACCCCAAGCGCCACAACTCGGCCTCCGTGGAAAACGTGTCTCTCAGGAAAAACAGCGAAGGGAGCGGCAGCGGTGGCGTCCTTGGTGGGGGCGACGAGCCCCCCGCGTCCCCTCGCCAGGTGCAGCCGCCGCTCCCCCAGCAGGCGCGGCCGTGGACACCGAGCCAGCCTGGGGGCCTGGTGGGCTGCCCGGGGGGCAGTGGCTCTCCCATGCGCAGGGAGACCTCAGCTGGCTTCCAGAATGGCCTCAACTACATTGCCATCGATGTAAGGGATGAGCCGGGGCTGTTGCAGTCTGCACAGCAGCACCCGCACCTGCATCCACATCCGCAGCCAGGTGACAAGAGCACCTGGGGCCGGACCCGGAGCCTCGGGGGCCTCATCAGCACTGTGGGGGCCAGCAGCACCGGTGGTGGGGTGTGTGGGGGGCCAGGCCCTGGAGCGCTGCCCTCCAACGCCTATGCCAGCATTGACTTCTTGTCCCATCACCTGAAGGAGGCCACCATTGTGAAAGGTGAGGCCCTTCACCTTGTGGCTGGTGGTGGGAGGAAGGGTGGGTGAGTGAGCGTTGGTGGGTTCACGCCTCTTCCCTTTTTTTTTCGGTACCTGGACCTAAATGCCAAAATATTGGCCCTGGCTTCTTGTTTTGTTTTACTTTAGGCTCCTGAGTCCTCCTCTTTCCCCAAAGACCTTGCCAAGAACAGTCAAATCATCTTTGAGTTGAATGTAAAGCTTGCTATTCAGGAAACTACTATTTGTATTTGTGTGTTTTGTGTTTTTGTTTTTGTTTTTTTTGTGTTTTTTTTTGCCCAACATGTTTCTTCTTTCCCACAGTCTTCTTCCCACCTATTAACACTGGGCATGCTCTCCAGGTCCCCACCTCATCAAACCCATTTCTTGATCTGAGAGTGGGAAAGTTCTGCTGGGAAGGGTCCTGAAGTTTGAGTTCTCCCAGGCTTGTACCTTTCATTTTCCTCTTTGTTTTCCTGGCGCAGGGTCCCAGCTGATTCTTGCCGAGCCTCAAAGTTTATAAAAACAGGCTCGAAAGCCACTTAGGAAATGAGCATCCATATTTGTGGCCGCTAAATGGAACAGTTAACCATTTACAGTTTACACATAAACTATAGGGGCCTTTCCATTAGAGACATTCCTTATCTCCTGTGGGGCTGAAATAGTAATGCCGCTTTCAAACACAGCTTCAGAGCAGTGGTTCTCAACCCTGAGCATACCTGGGAGTCACCTGCAGAGTCTGCTGAAACCAGGAAGGCTGGGCATGTGGGAAGCCCCAGGGATTCTGAGGCAGTAGGTCTGGGGTGTGGCCCAGAATTCACATTTCTAAGAAAGTCTCCAGGTTGTGCTGCTGCTGCTGCTGGTGGTTCGGGGACCATCCTTTTGAGAGCCCTGTCCCAGGTTAGACCCACCTGAGGAGGCTGGAGAAATTGGCCTATGGGGGCCTCACGCCAGACACTCGAGAAAAACATGCAATGGGCAGAGTGGAGGCGGGAGCATTTTTCGGTTGCCCAGGTGATAATATGCAGCCAGGATTTAGAATCAGTGCTTTAGAGAAAAACAAGGGAAGACAACATCATGCGGCTTTTCGAGAACAATTGGATAGGATGGTAACCCCGTATTGTTCTTCACATTCTCATCAAATATCCATGAGGAGAGAGAGACGGCTTGCTTTGCAGCTGGCGGAGCATTCTGACTGTTTCAAACTTTGAATGATGTTGTGGGGGGAGAGAAAGAAAGGGGTGAGGGATGTTCCAGGGTTTCTTCTTTAATTGTGTAGCTGATTCTCTGCAGGGTTGCTAGTAAGACAGAGGCACTGTGGGAACCACAGAACACATAGTAGTGGATGCTGTCCTAGATGCTGGCCTAAGGTCAGCAATCTTCAGGGGTTACAACAAGGTGATGATCAAGGTGCCTTGGACATCCATATGGCGTTTTTTTCTTTTTTTTTCTTAAAGTAAACAGATCAGTTTAATGCTGTCTAAATGCAGCATGTGTTTGATAACATCCATGGGGTTTTAAATTACAGCTGTAGGGTAAATGCCCTGTTATTGTGCTATAACAGAGGAGAAGCTATCTACGTTTTTATTAAAACCATAGAATAAAAGGTGAAAAGGGTCACAGAATTATAAGGAATGTGGTGCTTCAGTATCTAATTAAATCAATTGGAAGTTGTCAGAATGTTTCCCTTAAATGATGACTCGCAGCTGAAGGTCATTTTGCTTGGAGTTATATGATGGGCAGGCACTACAGGTACCTCTGAAAAATTGCTAGTGTGTCATGAAGTTAAGGATTAGCTACCTTTCAAGACAGACCATATAAACACACCGTCTAACTAGAATCAAGTGTTGGGGTTGGGGGAGGGGATGTACACCCACACACACACAGAAATTTATTTGGTATGCCCAAATGGGTATATGCCACAGTGAACATGAAAGTACATTTTGCTGAAATCTGATTCTAATCAGAAAAACAGTCTGAGAACATAACACCTTTTACTGTTTCTGGTGGAGTAGGCGGTAAAAACCTGGACTGGATTCAGGAGGGCCCCAGGAGTGGGTTCTTGTAGTAACAGGAGGAGTGAGCCAGAGTGTGCCTGCAACTACAGGCCTGAAAGGAGTCGAAGGCCTTTTTGATAAAGTAGATACATTCAGAAACATGATTCATGTATGATATAATGCCCTTTTCAGTCTCAGGAAAATTTTAAACTGCAAGAGATAAGTTTAGCTAGAGACCGTAGTTAGCTTGTTTTGTTTTAAGATTTCCCACCAGTATAAAATTCCTTTCAACCTATAGGATTCAGGATTCTGAAATCAAAACAGCAGTTTGTATGTTTCATGGTGGCTGAACAAAGATGAGAGATCATTTTGGTTGCTGTTTTTCCAAAGTCTGTGTGGTAAACACGCTTTTGAGAAGGAAATTGGTTCTTTTTAAACAAAATTGATCATTGCAATTAATCCATTGTGCCCCAACCACATTTTAGAAAAAAGGATCACGTGTTAAATGGGTTTCTAGTAAACACATTTGAACACAGAGAACAGTAGAATCGGAAAGAGGAGGGTGTCATCTTAATTAATGTGCAAGCTGTGGTCTGTGAAGCCAGGAGGACATTTAGAAACTCAGAATGAGCATCCACTTGTATTTAACTGGTGTATTCCCGTAGACATTTGTTTGGGGCGCTCATAAATAACAAGCTCATGGGAGATTAATAAATTAATCCTTTGAGAGAATAATTTCTAGAAGGAAGACTTGCAAAGCACCTCTTTGAAGATGAAATAGAAAAAGAACATCCTGGGTCATGGCGTGCACTGGTCTGTCACTCAGAAGTAGCATATGTTTGTTTCCACATCGAGCTTCTCAGGTTCTGCATGGAAAAACTGCATTGGTGGTCTTGAAGCAGAATAATTTGGGGTCACTGGGTAGTGTTTGGTATTTGCGTAAGTGGTGACCAAGACTGAGGTTCAGGGATCTTTGATAGTTGTTTACAAAATAATTGGGAAAGGGGGTGAGGTTTAAATGCTCAAGCCAATTAAAAGTTAGTCCACTTGAGACCTGTGTACATAATGTAGACATACTAGTGCAGCAAAAATAAAAATTGAACTGAAGTTTGCATCTCATTTGTAAGTAGGGGAGGTTAATAACCGTGTTATTTTTTACGTGTGCGTATGTAGAAAAATCCAACCTGTTGTTGTTGGGGCAATTGGAAGTATGTTACTGAATTTGCTGTGCTTTAAAACTACTTTTAAACATTAACTTTTACATATTTTTGGGTTGATTATAGATTGGTACATAACATAAAATATTTTAGTGTTCGTTTTTAGTGGGATTTTTATTCTAAAATTGTTTTTTTTCTTTGTGCACAAGGCAGATTAGGTAAGAATTGCCGCTGGAAGCATCTGTATTTAAATTTTGTTTTGAATAAAAGGGTCTGTTTATTCATAGCCTATGGTAAAAGAATCATGGCATAAGAGAAATGTTTCCATAGGAACAATACAGTCATGGCATATGTTTAAAAGTATTGCCTGTTGAAGTCTTAAAGCAAAGAATTTGAACACTCAGAAGACCAGTGAGATTGTTTACAAACAATACCCCTTATTTTTTCTGTTGGGTATGTTTTTCTGCTTTCGCTGGATAGCTTTGTCTTAGAGGATAATAATAATGTGCACTGCTCCTACCTCATTCTTAGTTGTCTAACTAAGATCCAATGAAAATACAGAGGCTTTGGTGAATGAAAGTCACATGACTCGTTCTATTTCCTTTATTGAAAGAGAAACCTTTACAAAAATAGTACTTAGCAGAAGGAAGCATACATAGTTTGTGGAACACAAAGCCAGAAATCAGGAAACCAGGTTTCCAGTTGCTGATCTTAATGAGTCTTTGTGTGACCAGAGGGGAATCATTTAATCCCTCTTTCTCACTTTCTCTGTCTGTAAAATGGGGTAATTATAAGTAAGCCTCTCACTTTGGTGTCCCTGGGCCACTGGGAGGTCCAGGAGATAGTAAATAGTTAACAATGGTTAAGCTCTTTTAAGGAAATGTGCTAACACATCTAATGAGGTTATTGATACTTGTTACCTTGAAACTGTGAAAATATACAGGAAAGATGCTTTTTAAATGGGAGTTTTCTTAAAAAAAAAAAAAAAGACAAAAACGCATAGTTGTCTGATAATGGAGCCAATCAATACCTGTTTAAGACATGTTTGCCTTTTCTCTTTGATTGCTAGTTCCACCTCAGTCTCCAGGAACCATTGTTTCTTTCCCCCCCCCACCCCCCAGATAATTATAAATTGTAAGGAAAGAGTGTCTTAAATTACATGATAAAATAACTATTAAGGAAAATAGTGCCTGGATCCTGAAACTATACTAAGACCATACTTTCGATTATCTTTTTTTATTTGTTTACATAATAAGAGATATTGTCAAATGGTGTCAAGATGAAAATGTATCATTAGAATATAGATTTATTTAAATGGACAGTTTTGGTTCTTCATGCTGGCTGCAGTGAAAGGCAGATACAACTCTTAAGCTTTCAGTAGTTGAACCATCCATTGTTCAAACCTGGATTTTCACTCTTTGGAGTTGATTTAATGAGAATGATCACCCCTGCACTGTTTTGATTTGTTTGGTTGTCAGACATTAGGAAAAACTTGTGGTGTTTAGTTCTTCGGTAGTTCCACAGACCCAATCCCCCCGCAAAATGAATTTTATTAGATATTAATGTGTTACAGTATGTCCTTTAGAACTATTAGTATTTAAATGAAATGTCTTTCTGAAGAGAACTTGCAGAAGTTTTAGTAACAGCTCAGATATAATGGGTTTTCTGTTAAAATTCCCACTAATGCATTTTCTGTAGAAGCATAGTCACAAGAGCTAGTTAACTTTTGGTATCAGATTTGGCAAGTGGAGAGGTTTCTTTGTTGTGTTTTTTTTTTTTTTTTTTTTTTTTTTTGGAGGGGGAGGGTGAGGGGGGTAGCACAGAATCAAGTGTTCCCATTTCACCTTAGA